TCAGCCATTGTTTGCTATTCTTAGAAGATGAAAGGACTGGGTCAGGTTTACGAACCCTTACCTAGTGAAAGGACAGGTAAGTGTAAAAAGTGGGGATGGAGGTAGAACAGTCTTAGCTTAAGACTCTTGGGAGGTGGGGATGGGGCAGCACAGGTGAATGTATGGGTAATAGAAAGAGGGTGACATGAGTAATCCTCAGAGTTCTGATCCCTGAGTAGAAGATTTCCTGGTTTGGGGTTCAGGCCTAGGAGATGGGGATGTGGTGGGAAAGATGGTTCTTGGATGAACTCTAGGGTTGGATAAGTCAAAGCCTAGCCACTAGTCTCCTCTTAGCCCATCCTTCTTGTATTTTCATTTGTTGAAAATTACACTGCTAGACAGAAGCATGGGCAACCTACTGAGGTAGTGATACCACCTCAGAAACCCAAGAAGGGGTCACTTGGAGTTGGATATGACTCGACAGTAGTGAGAGAGAGAGAGAGAGACAGAAGGGTGGTAAGTTAAGAAATAATCACATGGGGCCATGGTGCAGACCAGTCCTAGCCAACTAACTCTTGGTGCTCTGGAGATGAGAGTGGCAAGGTCATGCTGGTTTGCTAAGAACTTCTCAGTATAACTGGTCATCCTAGGGGAGACCCATCTCCTTTTGGGCCAGAAACAACTATGCTAAAGGAGTCTGAATTCCTACCATATAATGATCTGCCTCAGGAGCTGTGGTGTGGGGCTTGTTGCACCTGGTGAGACAGGGAAGATAGGGTGGGATTAGAATTTGTGGCTGGTTGCATTCCTTACAGAGTGACCCCAGAAGAGTTAAGCCAGTGATGGTGGCTTTCCTGAATGGTGAAGGCTGAAGCAGAAAGATTCCCAAAGGCTCTGTGGGCTTCAGTCATACACCAGAGTGAGCCTGGGCAGCCTCACTGGGAGAAATATGACATCTCACTAGAGGGCTGCTTGGAGGGGCCACTCACATGTTAGGTGTTTTGTTAAGTGTTTACTCCATTTTGATTTTGTTTCTTTGGATGGAAAGGCCACTGGCTGTTTTGGGGGAACTTCTCATTGTGCCCTCCCCATTTTCTGACATCACCATCAGGATTCAGCACACACCCTGCCCTCACAGTCTTCCCAACCTATTCCCCACTATCTCAGAAAAGAGGTCTTTCTTCTTCTCTTTTGATGATGCCTCAGGCCTTCAGAGTACAAAGGGATCACAGGTTTCTGAATCTGTGTGCAATTGCACTCAATCCAGTAGGGAAGAGTTAATTCCCTACTTTCTCTTTCCAGGGCCAGAAAGGAAGCAAAGGAGAAAATGGCAGCCCAGGACTTCCTGGCTTCCAAGGAGCCCGGGGCCCTCCGGTAAGCAGAGATCCCCAATGGGGCCAACCAAGATGCCTGGCTCCGATGTGAGTTGACATTCAGAACACTTCCTGCCACCTCCTAGGCCCGTAGGTCATCTGTTGTTGTTAGTGGCCATTGAGCCAACCCCCAACTCGTCAAGATCCTATACTGGGTCCTGCACTACCTCCAGGATTGGTTGTGAATCAGCCCACTGTGAGCCCCAGGGTTTTCACAGCTGGTTTTCAGAAGTAGATCACCAGGCCTTCCTTCCCAGTCCATCTTAGTTTGGGAGCTCCACTGAAACCTCTTCAGCATCATAGCAACACGCCAACCTCCACTGGTGGATGGGTGCTGGTGGAGCATGAGGTACACTGGCTGAGAATCGAACCCAGGTCTCCCGCAGGGAAGATGAGGATTCTGCCACTGAACCACTACTGCCTTCACTCAGCTCATCTAGTCAGGTCATAGGGATCTGGTTAGAGCTGTGTCACAGTCTGGTAGGCAGTGGAGTGCATTGGTTAAACATGGGCTCAGAGGTCACCCCTGGGGGATTCGGCCTCTCCTCTCCTCAATGCTGAGGCCTCGGGAGAGTCTCCCAAGCTCTGTGTGCCTTGCTTCCCTCATTGCTCTAGTGGGCATAACAACAGCACCTCCTTCTGAGGACTGACTGAGAAGATCATTTAAATGGATCAGGAATATGAACTACTGTAGTGATAGTGATGGTGGGATTTGGGCCAAGGCGATGCCCCTAGAACAAGTTGGGGCTTTAGGGTCCAAAGGCGCAGTGTTTTACTCAAGGCCAAAGAGTGAGTGTGGGCCCCAGCTGGCACGTGGGCCAGGTCTCCTGTGTTGACATCTCAATGCAGAGAGGAGCTGTAGGGTGATCTTGTATCGGTTTCTGGACAATTGTGGCTGTTGCTAGGTGCTGTTGAGTTGGCTCGGACTCATAGCAGCCCATGTACATCAGAACGAAACACTGCCCAGTCCTGCACCATCCTCACAATTGTTGCTTTGCTTGAGCCCTAGTTGCAGTCACTGTGTCAGCCTGGGCATAGGTCCCCCAATAGCAGGATCACCCTGACATGCTCCGTGATCCAGACATTTCCAGACTGTGCTCGCTGGTGTGATCTGCATTCATGTCCTTGACTCAGAAAGCTGATGGGAGAATGAGGACGTAAATGAAAGGGTCGAAGCTCTTCCCAGGTCCCCACCTTCTTCCTCCAGTTTATTTCTGACCCACGTATATTACATCACTGCAGCCCATCCCAGCTCACCATAAGTTGTGCCTCCCATCCACCACCCAGGCCCTAAGATGGCTCTTTCCACTTTTTCTTTAATTATTGTGGGGAAAATATACACAACAAAACACCCACCAATTCAGTGAGTTCTACGTGTGTGATCAGTGGCATTGATTATATTCTTCATGGGCCGCCATTGTCACTCTCCTTTTCTAAACCATTCTCCCACCATTAAATAATAAATTCAATGCCCCCTAAGCAAGAAATTGTCCCTTCTCCCTCCCTAATAATCTTTGTTTCTGTATCTTTGCTTATTCAGACCACTCATTTTTACTTGAGGCCATTCACTGAGTTGTATCACCATGAATTACCAAGCCCTCCTTCTTCATCCCTTTGCTAATGGTAGTCTGCTGCCAGTGAGGCTCCAGGTACCCTCTCTTCCAGACATATCACAACAACCATTCCCAATCACAAGAGTAGTGGTCGTTTGTCAAACCCTTCTACATGCTTGTCACTGTTCAGAGTCCTTTTATAAGTACTAACACATTTAATATGGGAGCTCTGGTAGCATAGTGCCTAAGGCACTTGACTGCTAACCAGAAGGCTGGTGGTTCAAACCCACCAGCCACTCCTCAGAAGGAAGTTTGGGCAATCTACTTCCGTAGTGATACTGCCTTGGAAACCCAAGGAGGGGTCGCTATGAGTCAGGGCCGACTCTACGGCACATAACAACAACACATTTAATGGGAAGAAAGGCCTCATGATCTACTTCCTCAAATCAGCCATGACAATGCTCTGGGTCACAGCAATCTGATCTGTGATTGGTCATGAGGATGGCACAGGACCAGGCAGTGTTTAGTTCCATTGGCCGTGGGGTCGCCATGAGTTGAGGACCAACTCCAAGGCAGCTAAGCACCATAGCACATTCAAGTCTCATGGCAGTCCTACAAGGCAGCCACGACTTCCCTTCTGATTTTAGATGGGCAAACTGGGCACACAGACCTTTAGGAAGTTTTAAGGACGTTGTCCAGGTCACAGAGCCAGTTAGTGGAGGAGCAAGGCTAGGCCCTGGCAGTCTGACTCTAGAACCATGTGGTATTTGGCGTCTCCTCTCATACTGTGAGCCTGCTCCTCATTGAGGTCTCCCTACCTCAGCCAGACCATTTGTCAAAGTAATATCCCAGAGGTACTCTTGCTGCATCAGCCCCATCCCATTGACCAGGAACCCAGCCTGAGGGCACCCTACCCCACCTTGGGACATGTTTGCTTTTTTCTTTCCTTTCCTCTGAAGAGGCTGACCAGAGAACCTTGTTTGGGATGCCCTTGGTCAACAGGACCATTGATCGCTGTCTCCATGGAAACACGAGTTGAGCATCAATGTGTTTTGGAGACAGTCACATTACTCGCAGCATGTTGATGTTGCAGCCAGCTAATATGTTGTTGCATTTCACAGGGAGAACCAGGAGAGAAAGGAATCCCTGGAAAGGAGGCAAGTATTGCACACCTTGAGTACTGCACATCTCTTCCACTCCTCGGTGACCCATTCCTATGGGAACACGGGGAGGCTGTGGGTGGCCCCGTGCTCAAAAGCCCCATGCTTGCTTTGGTTCTCTGCTGCCCCCATCTCGCAATCCTTAATGCTTGTTGAACAAGGGCTGTTCCAGGGGAGTTGCTTGATGTACCTCTTGTGCTTATCTGTCCCTCTACACCCAAACCACCAACAACCACCAACAGGTGCTGTCACCTCTCACTCCACGATACCTTTCAGTTCTGTCCATTTCTCTCCTCCTCTGCCCCTAGGATACTAATCCAGTCTGTCACCATCCCTCAGCTGGACTATTTCTGTGACCTCAGTGGTTTCTGCTTTTGTCTTCTCTGGCCTTCCTCCACCCAGCAGGCAGAGGGATCTTTGGAAGATCATGTCCCTTGGCAGTCGCAACTCAGCTCTGTCCCCACTTTGCACTCTCCATAGGATCTGGGATGCCAGGCCCTTGTCCACTCTTCCTCTCATCATTCTGGCTCCAGCCACTCTGGCCTTGCAGTTCCTGTAACTTCAAATTCTTTCCCAAGTGCCTCCACATACACTGGGCCCTTTCCAGAAACCCCTTATCCCACTCTCCCTATGTCCCCATACCCACTGTTTCTCATCCTGAGGTCTTTGCTGAGATGTCCCTTGGCAAAGGAGGTGAATGCAACATGGGCCCTGCTGTGCAAATGTTTATTGTCTGAGGGGGTGGGGCATAAGCACATGACTGTCACCACATGTGGGGAGAAAGAACGCTAGGTATCAGTCAGTGCCACGTGACCTGTGTGTGGGGACGGGATCCTGGCCAGAGAGGAGGGGACAGAGAAGGACAAAGAGGAAACAGAGAGACGCTTCAGGTGGAGAGACTCACAGAAGCACCATGTGGGGGTGTCTCAGCAGTGAGGACAGCATGGACTGAAGTGACCACTCCTCAGGAGAAGTCTAGGGCCATTGGGACACTGAAGAGGGCTCTGTTCCCAAGTGCAGGGCTCCCTGGAGGGGGCCTGGAGGCCATGTGGGAGCTGGTTATCTGAGCAGAGGGATAGTAGCATGCTACAGGCAGAAGGATGATGGCAGCAGCCCTGCCTGCTCACGGTGTTGGGGGAGCCACCATCACTGGGCTTGGCCAGAGCCTAGTCAGCCAGGACACAGGACAGCAAGAGCTAGTCTAAGGCCTGCTCAGGCAGAGCCTCTGCGCAAGTTAAGGGCTTGGATGTTGTGGTGGTTCAGTTTGTGTGTCAACTTGGCTGGGCCTGGTTGAATGGCTAGGCAGCCGGATGTAGTATTCCCCATGATGAGACTGCTAATCACCTCCATGGTGGGATCTACTGTGAGCAGCTGAGTAGCTGCCTTAGAGATGTGGTCTGCTTCCTGTATAGAAGGAGAAGCCTTGGGCAATGGTCTCTATCTTATGGCATGTGGTCTGCTTCCTGTATATAAAGAGAAGCCTTGGGGAATGGTCTCTATCTTATGGCTATGTTGTTGTTCAGCAGTCTGCCGTGCTCTGCCGATCTTGGGACTTTCAGTGGACTTGAATCAATGGCCTCCTGTGTGGTTTGGTAACATCGGGACTGTGCTGTTTTCTTTGTCAACCTTGGTCTTGTTAGCCTCAGCAGCCAGTAGCTACCTGAGTGAAGAGATGCCTCTAGCTTCAGTGGGCTGGAAGCAAGAGGCAGAGCTGAAGCCTAGGGTCAAGGGGCTTTCACACAGCCCCTATTCGACTGCTAATCAGAAGGTTGGAGGTTCAAACCCACCAGCCACTCCTTGGAAGGAAGATGTGGCAACCCACTTCTGTAGTGATACTGCCTCAGAAACCCAAGGAGGGGTCACTGAGAGTCAGATCCGACTCAATGGCAGTGAGTTTGGTTTTGGTTTCCTAGAGCCTGGCACTTTGAACTTGGACTTCTAGCCTCCCAAACTGTAAGAGAAAAAACTGTTTGTGCAAACCATTCCATTTGTGGTATATTCTTGTCAGAGCAGCACTAGGTAACCAGAACAGATGTTATGGTGAGAGGGTTGGAGGAGGAGCAGGAGGGGACCATGGTCAGGGGACCAGGTAGCAGGCAGGTGCCATCACCAGTGGCAGGAGGAATGGAGGGAAGTGGGCATGAACAAGCCCTGCAGTGTCTAGACAACCTGAAGGCACCTTTGGAGGCCTCTGTTCCCTAGGGTCCCTGGCCCCAGCCCGCAGGACTGTATGGAACAATAGGAAAGACACAGACATCCCTCACAGGCCTTGCTTGCATGACCATTGTCCTTGGATGTCATTGCAGGGCGCCGCCGGGAAGCCTGGAGAGCCGGGGTCCAAAGGAGACAGGGTAAGTGCATGGGGCCATCACAGTGTCTTTCACCTCCATAGTGGCTCGGGATGCTGAGGCTGGGGTTAGTCCTGGGTGCGGAGGTGGCTTGCACCATTCCCAGGAAGACCACCTCGTGAAGGGAGTTCATTTTCTCCCCATTATTGTCAGTGTCTCTTTCTCCTCTTCTCCTGTGCTTATTTCAAGGTGTAACATCCCCTCAGTGATGCAGTCAAGGGCAAGTGTCCCAGGACAGGGACACATCCCCCTCCCTGAGCAAAGCTCCTTGCAGAACAAAGCAGCCACAGCGCTCAGCTCCCAAGTGCCAATTTGCTAGGAGCCAGCTTTGTCGCTGGAGGGGACAGGGAAACAGATTTTCCCATGATGAATCGCTTGGCGCTGTGCTCTGAAAGGCTTCCTTCGCATTTCTCTGAAGAACAACAGGGTGGGGGCCATTTTTGCAGAGAAGTCTGTGGGGAGGGGAGTTTCTCCCACCCCCACTACCCCCCCACACACACGCACACCTGCTGCTGCTTGTAGGGAAGTAAGCTTCTCATTTGCCTCCAGTCCTTGGCTTGGTCAGCCTGCCGTCATGCTGTTGCACCACATGGAAGTCACTGCCACTCGTCCCCTGCCCCAGCTCCCTTTCCCAGGCCCTGCAAAGAATTAATTGCGGCTTGCTTTGCCAGTTGGCTGGTGAGGAGCTAGCAGGCTTATCTCACAGCCTGGAGGAGAGAGAAAAAAACCACTTCTGCTCCCTCTCCCACGTGTCCTCCCTCCCCTCCTCCTCCTGGGACAACTGACTCTTCTGTCCTTTTGGCTGGTGGCCCTGAGTGATGGGGTCAGGGTGGTGGGGGCCTGTCAGGTCCCCCGACATGAGAGTCAGGAACCCACAGGAGCTATTACTGCCGAAAATGAACTTGACTTTTGGCTGGGCGCCTGCAAATTCAGACCTCAGATGGCAGTCCCTTCTCTCATCCCTTAAACCATACACAGTGGCAGGGCACCAGTGAGCAAGGTAAGCACAGCCTTACTTGTGCTTACTTCCTAATCTGTAGTGACCAATTTCCCATTTTTTCACTCTATCAAAGATTCTGCTTCCAGGTGGGGTTGGCATCTGTCTCTCCCAACCCTACAGCCCCTTCCAGCAGGATCAAAGCCTCTTTTTCCATTTACGATGCCTGGCAGGGCTGGGTACCCAGTAAGCACGGGGAGCGTGAGCTTTAACATGTGAAACTGGTCACTACAGATTAGTTAGTAAGCACAAGGAAGCCTGTGCTTACCTTGCTTATTGGTCCTCTGCCCCAGGGGATGCGTGGAGTGCTCACTTCTTCCTCCTAAGTGGTTTCATGGAGCTGTACCAGGTGGCGGTTAGACGCCCCTGTTCCCTCCCACTCCTGGGAATGTTTGAAACATGGGACAAATCCTCTTGGCACAAAGTGATACCGAGGCCTTAGTGAGTAGGAAACACTAGGCAGTGTGTGTGATGACAGCTCGGCACTCAGGGGCACTAAGAACCAGCATGGTCACAGACCCCTGTTGAGGCCCCCTCTCCGTGATGTACGTCGGGTCTGGGGAGTTTAAATGACTCTCTTAGGTCTGGAAACATGCCTTATTTTAAATCCCCTGCCTGTTGTTGTTGAGAGGCAGTCTAGGGAGATAGCTAACCAATGCCGGCCACACAGCAGTGAATACCGTACAACAGAAATGATGTCCTTACCCGCCTGGGGCCCCTCCTGGAGTCCAGCCTGTGTGCTGTTTACGTGCAGAGCAGGTCTGTGCATGTACCACTGGGTGGGTGTGAGCTACACACGGGCCTTTTCTTGAAAGCCCCTGAAAGTGTTACCCTTCAACCGCCTTTTTGTTTCCCCTGTGCATACGTGTGTTGGAGGCGGTGTCATCGCTGTGTGCAGCTCTGGGTCATTGTCACAGTTGTGTTGTGATCCCAGCTGCCATCTTGTTCTCTTCCTTGTCCCTCTTCCCTTCCCCCTCTGCTGGATCCTAACAGTGGACTAGGAGGTTACACTCTGAGACCATTCACGGGGTCGTCATAGTGTCAGGCCCACTGACCACTGGACTTCTGGGCAGACACATAGTTGCAAGCAAGGGTAGAGGACAGGGCTGCCCTGTAGCTGCCATGGTTCCCAAATGCTTGGACCCAGTGCTATGAGCTCCCGTCAAGATAAGGAGAAAAGGGGCTCAGGCGGTGTCCTCCTGAGGGTGCTGGGGAGTACACGAGAGGTAAGAGAAGGACGTGGCTGGTGGCCTGAGCACGAGAACCACTGTGGAAAGAGCCCAGTGTCCCTCCAGCCAGCAGAAAACAAGAGTGGTCTAGAGGACAGTAGCTTGTGGCGCTGTCCACGTGCTGGCCTTCTCTGCTAGGGTCGAGCACAGCATTGAGGTTTGGGGTTCATTTCCTCTTTGTCCTCTGCACTCCCCGTAGGATGTGGGCAGGCGGCTCTGTCCCCTCATCTGTGCAGAAACGGGCCAGCAGATGGGATGGGCCCTTCTCACTCTTGAGAACCAACAAGCCAGGGCCCAGGTCTCCTTTGCAAGGCCAGGAGCAGGGGACACAGGGAGCCTCTCCTGCCATCACAGCTGTGAACCTGCAGGAGTGCACCTCTGAACCCACTGACATGCTTCTCTCCTCTTCTAGGGAGATCCAGGGACCAAAGGGGACAAAGGACCTCCTGGTGGGAAGGGCCAGCCTGGGGACCCCGGAATCCCCGGTCACAAAGGCCACACTGGCCTGATGGGCCCTCAAGGACCACCAGGGGAGAATGGACCGGCGGGACCCCCAGGGCCTCCAGGCCAGCCAGGATTCCCAGGACTGAGGGTAAGGAGGCTGGTGAGCCCTCAAAATGGGGCTCCACTCAGCCGGAGAACAGAGCCAGAGGGCCCTGGTGACAGATCCCCCCTGCTAGTGAGTGCTGTGTGACCTGGCTTTGTTCCTTCCCCTTGCTGAGTCTGCCTTGCTGTCTGCAAAGAGGATGAGAATACCCTCTCGCGGCAGGAGAATCAGGGTGCTGAAGTGAAATAACCTGAATAGCTTAGGAGGTGCTCAGAGTTCCACCCTCTGTCTCAGGGCTAATGAGTCCTGGAGACGTGGCCGCCTTGGTGAGGGGACTGTCCTGAAAGGTGACAGACAGCGCAGGAACATCTTGCTTGCCACCTTCATAGAGCTTATTTGTTTGTTTGTTTTTATTGTGATTTGGGTGAAAGTTTACAAAGGAAATTCACTTTCCATACAGCAGTTCACATACACTTTGTCTCATGACATTGACTATAATTTACCCCAATGCAACTGTTCTCCTCCCACTTCCTCCCCATAGTTTACCTCTTCCCTGTGCCCATCCCTCCATGCACTCCTGCCCCCTGAGCTGTCTCCCTGTGCATAAGCAGCCCTTCTTTCTCCCATGATTGTTCTCTCCAAGGAGTGTATC